CCCCCCCCCCCCCCCCTTTACACTTTTCTTACATTTTCCTCATCTCCCCCCCCCCCCTCCCCAAATCCCGTAATACTACATGTAGTATTTATTCGCTAAGATAATAATATGACATTTATACAGTGCAAATCTGTGTTACAATCATATTATTGTTCTATGCGCTTTACTTTTACATAGTAGTATTCATTAGTTTTTGTACAGGTTTTACGGCGCTCGCAACTGCATAAGGTTCTATGAGCGCCAGAAGATTAGAGGTGTCACAAGAGAGTAACAAACATAAAAAAGAAGAAGGGGAGATAGGGACGATAGATGTTTGATAGGAAAAAAGGAGCAAACCACACCAGAGCACCCGCAAACCACCCACATAATAGTATTCACGAAAAACAATCATACACACATGTGACATAATAATTAAGATTATATTTGAACGACCCCTTTAGGGGTTTTCTGGATGAATCGATCCATGTCTAGATCTACCCCCCTAGCCTAAGATTTTAAAGTCTTTCACAAATTTTTATACTAGATCTTTCTACCTGGTGCTACGGAACAAAGCAAGCTAAGTAATCAGACGATCGTGTTTACGATTGAGTTTACTCTATTTTTATAGCTATCTAGATCTTAGAGTCTAGATTTAGCTAGAAAGTCTATATCTAGATCTTAGAGTCTAGATTTAGCTAGAAAGTCTATATCTAGATCTTAGAGTCTAGATTTAGCTAGAAAGTCTAGATCTAGATCTTAGAGTCTAGATTTAGCTAGAAAGTCTAGATCTAGATCTTAGAGTCTAGATTTAGCTAGAAAGTCTAGATCTAGATCTTAGAGTCTAGATTTAGCTAGAAAGTCTATATCTAGATCTTAGAGTCTAGATTTAGCTAGAAAGTCTAGATCTAGATCTTAGAGTCTAGATTTAGCTAGAAAGTCTATATCTAGATCTTAGAGTCTAGATTTAGCTAGAAAGTCTATATCTAGATCTAGAAGAAATAGAAGATGATTCAGTCCAAACAGGACTATTTTGGAGGTCGGGACGGGTCGGGACGGGTCGGTTTGCTCGACAGACTGATTATGGTGCAAAGTGGCTATCGTGGCACAAATCGATCGCGCCCTACACTCGTTGCCCCAAAATCAAACGCGTAGTTTTCAGGCAACGAGTCGGGCGATCATCCCGACCCGATCTCATCCGCAACGGGCACTTGGGCACCCCGTAAATCTAGTGCAAAGGAAGTATGGTAGATCTAATCAGAGAGTTTAATGCCCCCCTTCGCGTCGTTATTTTTAGTTGTGGAAGAAAATTTCGGTTATTTTTACCGAAAATAAATTATTATTTTTCCAACTTTTGCAGAAAATTGCCTAAAATTTGCGAATTCACGAAAATGGCAAAAGTTGCGCTGAGGCCAAAAGTTGCGTGCACAACTTGCGGGTTGCGCGCGCGAATTTCTCTGAGGACAGACAAGCAAACAAAACTGACACTAACTTCATTAACCCTTCCAGCCCCAGCCATTTTACCTCCTAACCCAGCAGGAAGCACACCCCAGTCCCAGGTTACCGGGTATATCAGTATTTCAGAAAAAGGGATCTGGATCCATAACAACAGAAATAGAGACATATATATATACATGCATTCTAAAAAGTGATGTAGCGTCTTTGTTATGAACTTTAGATAATAACATATAACAATGTTGACGGGTAAATGAACAAAGATTATGGAAATTAAAGGTTAATTAGGTTTGCTGCCATTTAGAAAAATGCACAAATTCGCTACCGCCTGAAACTGAAAATATAAGCTCTTGGTACAAAAGGCTGAGAATATACGCTCTTGGGACGGCGGGAGGTACAAGCGCTGCTGAGAATAAACGTGAACGGGGCTGGAAGGTTTAAGACAAAAAAAGAGTGAGTGGTTGGAGGACAGAAACAACAGAAGGAAGTTTTAGTTTAAGTAAGAGTTTCCTAGCACTTGCAACACAATTAGGTGACACAAATATTGAAGAGTAAAGGTGTTACCAGGGAGTAACATACACAAGAAAAGACGGAGGAGAGATCAGGACGACAGATGTTAGATAGGAAAGAAGGAGGAGAGATTAGGACGACAGATGTTAGATAGGAAAGAAGGAGGAGAGATTAGGACGACAGATGTTGGATAGGAAAGAAGGAGGAGAGATTAGGACGACAGATGTTAGATAGGAAAGAAGGAGGAGAGATCAGGACAACAGATGTTAGATAGGAAAGAAGGAGGAGAGATCAGGACGACAGATGTTGGATAGGAAAGAAGGAGGAGAGATCAGGACGACAGATGTTCGATAGAAAAGAAGGAGGAGAGATCAGGACGACAGATGTAGGATAGGAAAGAAGGAGCAAACCACACCAAAGCACCCACCTACCACCCACCATGATGATGATGATAACGAAGAGTAAAAGCAATGAAGAATAGCAAATCTCGGCCTCACCGTCACAATCAGCAAAGATGATGAGCGGACTCTTCCCCCCCAGCTCCAGGCTCACTCTCTTTAGGTTACTCTGGGCCGCTGCCGTCATCACCTTACGGCCAGTCTGAAACACAATCAAAATAATAATGATGATGATGATAATAATAAATTAATAAAGATAATAATAATAATATTAATATAATATTAATGATAATAATAACAACAATAATAAATACAATAATAAATTACATTTACAATAATAAATTACATTTATTTGTTGGGTGACCTTATTTAGGCCACATGTGGCCCAAATAAGCTAAACCCCCCTCCCTTACCTTATTTAGGCCACATCATATGGTAGATTTCTTGAACTAACCATGGATTCCGAAGGTCGAAATTCTACTGATCTTTTTATTTAGTGCGGGGGATTATTTCAAAATAGAGGATGATACTAAATGAAAAGTGGACCAAGGTTAAGAGTTGTGTGTGTGTGTGTATGTGTTTGTTTTGTGTGTGGTTGTGGGGAGAGCGAGATCTAGAGAAAGAGAGTGAATGTAATAGTGTGTTTGTATGTGTGTGTGTGTGTGATGTGTGAATGTTATTGTGTGCATGAGTATCTATCTCAGTTGTACGGTCCAAATGTACATTATTTTGTTTGAGAATTTTACATAGAACTCAACTGCAAAACACCTTTATACAAAGTCTTAGAAATATTCTTTTTGTGCTTACTGAGGTACGTTTCTACTACCAAAGATTCTCTACACGATCTTTGCTACTACTACTACTACTACTACTACTACATGTACTACTACGAGACAGTACGAGAGAGGGCCACCCAGGCAAAGATAGTGTAACTTTGACTCAGCCACGTTGTGTACACACTTTTTATATCCCAAATTTGACCCGGAAGTCCATTCGGAGGATTTGACCTTTTCACTTGACCAAAGTGTACCAAAATGGTAGCCTAGCCTTTGCCCCTCCATGAAGGAAAAATCTGGCCCTCATTCAAACCATTGGGATTGAGCAAAATTTTGCGTATTGTGCTTTGTTCTTACAATTCATTATGATTATGATTTATGAGTTGTACACTGAGACAAAACTGTACTAAATGAGAAAGGTGCACCATTATGAAAATGGAACGAACTCAGTTGCCTGAAAAGGGTAGTTTGAGCATGTGTGGCCTAAATAAGCTAAACCCCCCTCCCTTACCTTATTTAGGCCACAGTCCACTGTGGCCTGAATAAGCTAAACCCCCCTCCCTTACCTTATTTAGGCCACAGTCCACTGTGGCCTAAATAAGCTAAACCCCCCTCCCTTACCTTATTTAGGCCATATGTGGCCTAAATAAGCACTCCCTTCTAAATATCTAAAGAAAATTATTTGGACGTATAAAACGCCTACATTGACAGAAATATCTGTGATCAGCAGAGGCATTATCGCCTCTCGAACCCGATTTAAGTTGTTTTTTATACGTCTAAACGATGTCCTCCCCCCCTTTTTTCCCCTAAACGAAGCACGATAGAAGCCAATAAAATTGCAGCGGTTTGTCTTTACACTCATTTTAATATTTAGATGTCTTCTGACATA